TAAATTCTTCTTCGCCCTGTATTCCAATAAATTAAAAAATTTATGAAGCTGAATAGTCCAAATCGTTGTGCTAGTTTTCGAGCATATTTTATCGGAAAAATACTTTTACTTTGCATTTTTTATGACAGAACGTAGATATACAGTCTGTTCGCTATACATACGCGGGTTTCGGATTAACAAAATTATGCAAATTAGTCATTGACAACTAGTTTCAATAAGCCTTTTCCCAAGAAATTAGGTAAAATTGCCCTAATGGTCAGATTTAAATTAAATAGCATTAGGGTAGGTACTAAATTTGTTACAAATATTGCAGTTTAATTGATTCTTTGCAAGTGTTGACATTGTATGTATATTGTAAATTTAGTGGAAATTTTAAAAATGCCTAGACGTGTGTTAGATGTAGATAGCCTAATTTGTAGTGTACATAAGTATTTTACGGATGAAAAAGAAAATGGCGGTCCTTTTAAATCGGTAATGTCTGTACAATAACGCGTATGCGATGCTCTAGGAATTAGTGAAATCAGATTAAGATGAGTATTATAAAATCACAATAGTGAACTGCCGAAAGAAGATCACCGCAAAACTCGCCCATTATTGAGGGTCAACAAGGAACATGTGACCTTAAATACAATTCTCTCGGAATTAATAAATAGAAAATTTGACGACATTAGCAGAACAAGCCTATGGCAAGTGATACATAACTTGGGTTTTAAATTTTAAGAGGAGGATAACAGAAAGGCCCTTTATGAAAGAAGTTCTGTCGTGCACAAGAGAATTAACTTTCTAAGAAAATATTCTAAATTTAAAGAAGAAGGGGCGAATTTGATATATTTAGACGAAACATGAATATTTTCTAGGGGTGCAACCAAGAGAATATGGCAAGATGATAACGTAAAGTCCATCAAACATACCGATGGAGAAGGGAAGCGACACATAATTTTACATGCAAGAGGGAAATCGGGTTTTATAGAAGGTGCTGAATTAATATTTTCATCTAAATCAAAATCCAGTGACTATCACGATAATATGAACACAAAAATGTTTGTAAAATGGTTGCATGAAAAACTTCTCCCAGGTTTAAGTGAGCCCAGCGTAATTATTTTAGACAATGCACCTTACCATTCTGAAGTATTAAACAAAAGTCCAACGAATTCTTGGACTGTTAATAAAATTAAAGAATGGTTGACAAAGGAACATATACCATTTCCTCAATATATATTAAAATCAGAATTATTACGCTTGGCAAATATACACGCAAAACCAAAAACCTTTGTTGTGATCAGATTATTGAAAATTACGGTCAAGTTTTACGTCTGCCACCGTATCATTGCCAGTTTAATCCCGTCGAATATATATGAGGAATAGCAAAACAATATTATGACAACCATATTGGGCCTAATGGTTATAGTGACGACGCAGTTCGGGAATCTTGGCGAAAAGCACTTTCAATTGCAACTCCAGAAGTGTGGCGGAACTGTATATTCAAGTGCGAGACACTAATAGAAGATTGGTGGACTCGTGAACATAAAATAAACGAAATAAGTCCAATCATAATAACAATTAATGGTGATGACATTGATGATGATTATGATATTTTGGATGATAATGACTGATTTTCATTTTTGTTGGCAAGTTCAATTTTTTTATTTTTCATTTCAAATTCTCTAAATGGAACAAATTTTTATGTTAGAAAATATTTTATTTGAGCTAAATAACCCTCTTATTATACATAGACCATATTTTCTGTGTGAAGTGTAATATAACATTATTATTAGGTTTATAATAGCCACATTAGACTCCATTAATGAAGAAGTTTAATTCTGCTCTCAATTATACACAAAAGATTCTCCATTATTATTTAGTTAAAAAGTTGTACATTATTTTTCATTTCATTTAACCAGTTGATATTTCCCCAAAGAACAGGTCAAACTTTCGGGTACTTACCTGGAAATACTCATAAAATTTTTAATCCGAAACCCGCGTAAGTATAGCGAACAGACTGTACTTTATACCTTTTATACACCGTTTCAATTCGTATATTACCGGGGCTGTTAAGAAAGTTGAGATATAAATGTTGTTTAATTTGTATAGAGGTTGCAATTTCATAGGTAATCCAAGGTTATCGTTTTTTGATATATATTTTTTTTATGCATTTATATATTTATATACATTAACGTCCGCAAAGTAAAAATCTCAATTTTGTCGTCACAACCTCCTTTCAGTTTAAAATGTTAAATTTGAATGAGTCTACATTCCTATGGTTAATTTCTATAAAAATTTTCAACCCTATTGGGGCCTCAGAAACTCTGACCTTATGCCTATACCAATATTGGCTAAATATTTTCTGTTGAAAATAACAAAATGATTTTATTAATAGAAGATTTTATGGGATATTTTCTCACTCACATGACAGGTCAAATAATGTGTTATTTTTAGCCCAGACTGAATCAAACAATTTTGATCGTATGCAAATATTACTTACTTAAAATTCTATATTCTCTGCATATTGTAATGTTAATTTAATAAAATTTTATTAATTTAGTTTTATCTAACTCATTATATTATTTTAGTATACATCGTGACGACACAATAAGATAGACAGTGATAGATATTTACGATATACGTATCGTAATAGTATATTACTTATCAAACGTAGTAAATAACAAATTATACGCGCAAATCAAACTAATCACCCAGTATGTATACATATTAATATTTTTTTATTAGTTTTAAGTAGTTTTAGCAATTCATTTTCTAATCTTTGGACTTCGTACTTACTCGTATAAATTTACCAAATTTATTTACCAAAAAAATGTGAAAATAAAGCAAAACATTACCCTTCTGCTTGATAACATTATACCCACACGTACAGGGTGGATGGTATTTAAACTACAGGGTGCTCTACAAAAGCCGTAATTAACTGTTCCTTCTTCACTTAAATCAAATCGTAAATTATGCCATATTTTACGGATAGCCTTGTCAGATTATTTTGGCTTACTATGTATTTTTAACATTAAAAAAGAAAAATGATACAAAGATACTGAATATGAAAATGAGATTGCAAGAGAAAATCAAAATGTATATCAGAGTTGGACGAAAAATATAGTCAAAAATTTTATTATAGTGGAAATTAAACAAAAGTAAAGGAGCTTTTTGTTTGAATATTTCCTCTTCTCAAATTATTGAAGTTAATTTTTCGAAACGACGTTCTTTATTTTTTGTTTTTCCTAAACTGCTTTTGGCCTGAATCTATTAAGGTACCATTTGGGAAGACGCGACCGAGACCGATTTCAAGCGACATGCAGCAAGCAACAAATCCTACCGTGCTAAAACTGCTGCCGTCGGTCGCACCTTCCCAAATGTGTTTCATACAATTATATGTGTTCAGACGTAAAGAGACCGTTTTTTGTATCCTATGCTATAGAGCAGCGTTACTCAAAGTGTGGTCCGCGGAGCCCTGCGGTTCCGCAAAGCCCTTGTGAGGGCTCCGAGAAGAAAATAATAGTCAAAAAGAAGTACTCTCGTTACAAGAGGGAGGGACTTAGCTTGAGGACTTTTGTTTAGTAATGTGTTTAAGGCTACCTCAAATATTTCGCTTTTCAAAAAAGTGCCCGCGCCAAAAAAGTTTGATAACCACTGCTGTAGAGTACCTATTACCTAAAAAAGATGTGATGCTGATTTTTTTGTACGGCCACTAACGATTCAACCATAGTATTTACTGTGTTTTGTTCAGTGTGACTGTTTTATCTGGTAATTAGGCGATAGTAATTTCGTCGTTTGTTTTGAAATAAAGGTTGAATTTATAAAAAGTTTATTTATTTTTAGAAAGATCAGCTGTTGTTCCAACATTTACTTACATACACTATCTGCCAGCATGGGTCAGGGTCACATTTATTACTTTTGCGATAGGACAAAAGAAGTCAACATAGGAAAATCTCCTTTTCTTTATTCGTACTTACTTATTTCTTTTATTTTTTTTTTGTTTTATTATCTTAATGATGATAAGTCAACATTTTATAACTTTGATAATGTAAAAACTGTCATACCTATAAAAATTATTTGTTTATTACAGATACAGATAATTTGTTTATTAGGTACATTTTGCTAAAAAGATAATGAGTAAATACGTTAATTTCAAGCAACATTTTAAAATAATAAATAAATTCTATTAGAACTACTGTATAGAGTCCAGACTAAACTTTAGGTGGGGGCCATGCTAATAATTTTGTTTTTAAAGCTAGGCACGAGATTTTTTTTATTAGGTCCCAGCGGCGACCTTTTTTTGCTCTTCAACCCCAAAGGATAAACATAAGGCGCATGTACAAATAACTAGAAGACCTTTTTTTTAACTCCCCAAGTCCTACTTAATACTTTTATGTTGTACGTCTGCTCACACTAAATTAAAAAAGGAAACTCATACTGTAATAATATTAACCTCGGGGGAGCCATGGTCCCCTGATACCCTAATACCCACATAATCATGAATTGAGTAAACATAATATCGGGGGTGTTCCACCACATTTTCGTATTTTGGTTTGCCAGTAAGGAGATACCTATCCCAAGTATTTTCGAATAGGTGAATTGGTAGACGAGGGCCACTACAGTGTCCTGCTAGGTCTCCAAACCTGAGACCTAACACCACTGGATTTTTGTGGGGTAATTTGAAGTTACTGGTATACAAATATAGTCCACACAAACTTCAAATTCAGAGAGAAAGATTAGTTGACGAAATTCATAATATTCAAGGTGTTTGGCTGCAAAGTGGAAAATCGTTTAGGCCACTATCTTGGCCTTTTTCATCATATTCTTAGAAATCTTTAATTTTTATTAGTTCAAATTTCACTGTACCAAGTTATTAATCAAAGAATCAGCAATATTACAATAGTACTAATTTAAGTTGTTAGAATCTAATGGTGGTTTATTTTCATTATGTTTACCTCTATAGGCTGCAAACTAAGACATTCATATTATCTATTGTTTCCAGATTAGCTAGAGATTTGATGGCATCAGGAGAGAGATGCGGAGGTTTGGGATCATTTTTGGCAATGTCGTGCAGAGGTAGAGCCGAGGCGTTTGCCAGAAGCTTGCATTCGAAACTTCGATCACTAGGTACGCAAGACGAAAACGGTTCAGCTGACGAAAGCACTTGGCTGGCAGCTCACGAGAATCCAATTACCATATCACAACCTGCACACTCAACTAATACGGATTCATTTTTGGGTGAGATACATTTTTTAGTAGATAGTATGTGCCTATTTTATAGACTGTCATTCTCCCTTTTAATAATAACCTATTCTATTTCAATATACATTTATTTTGAATAATAATTTAAATTTTTAAATGTCTATTGGACTAAAACACTTCTCTATAGATATACATCATGATTTCTATATAATGGGCTTAAAATATATGTTTAAATTTTTCATCTGGCAAATAGAAGGTATAATTATTGAAATTTTGGGACGTAGAAGGCATGGCCTTTGTTAACATTTATAGGCATTTTTATCTCATTGAAAGACAAGATATACAGGGTGTTATTGAAATACACGTACATATTAAAACTGGGTATTGCGCAGATCCCCACTGAATGTAGAAAAATATTATTTTTTAAAAATACCCCTTATTAAGGGAGTTATTAATTTTTGAAAATTAATTCTAAAACAAACGTACTTCACTGATATGTTTAGGATGACCTATATAAATTAGGTTTATTTACCTATTTTAAACATCAACAGTAATTAATATGCAAGTTTTTGTTAGATGATAAGAAAACTAGTCTTGTAAGAAATAACCATGTTGTCAAGATTTTCGAATTAATTTCTATTTCCGAAGACTTGTTTTTACTACCCTCCTTATCAAAAAACTAGAATATTTGATAAATGATTGTTTTTAAACTATACATTTTTGAAACTATAGATTATTAAAATTTTAGTTGATTTACGAATCTGGCTAACACGAGCGCGTCATTTCCAAGTTGGTAAAAAGTGTTGTTACGATTACTTTTAAATATTTTTTTACGATGCCACTATTTACGAATATTGAACTAACGGATATAGTGCTGGTTTATGGGACAGCTGGAGAAAATTCTCGGCAAGCACAAATCCTGTATCGCGAACGGTTTCCAAATCGGAGAATTCCGGACTGTCGTACGTTTATTTCAACTGTTCAGCATCTAAGAGACCATGGAAAATTTGAGAGTGTCAATGCAGATCGAGGGAGAACAAGAACACAAAGAACATTGGCGGCCGAAGAAGAAATATTGGAAGCTGTTGAAAACCGGCCTCAATTAAGTTGTAGAAGACTAGGTCTTGAAATTGGAGTGTCCTCATTTGTTGTGTGGCGGACACTTAAAGAACAAGGTTTACATCCTTATCACATCCAAAAAGTCCAGGGCTTATATCCAGGTGATGAAGAAAAGAGAGTGGAGTTTTGTGAATGGATGATTCAAAAATGTGTTGATATTCCTGATTTTCTAAAAATATTATTGTATACTGACGAGGCTTCATTCACTCGTGATGGCGTGTTCAATATGTACAATACGCATATTTGGAGTGATGAAAATCCTCACGCCATTAGGGAAACTGGGCACCAAAGAAAATTTTCAATAAATGTTTGGGCTGGCATAATAGATCAGTATTTAATCGGGCCTTATGTTCTCCCGATCCGAACAGATTAAATGGGCCAGGATATCTCCACTTTTTAGAAGATATTTTGCCAGTACTCCTAGAAGAGATACCGTTACAATTAAGGCAACGGATGTGGTACCTACTAGATGGCGCTCCTCCTCACTTTGATTTAAACGTACGGCAGTTTTTGAACATTAGATTTCCTCAAAAGTGGATAGGCAGAAATGGACCTACTAAGTGGCCTCCGAGATCTCCGGACTTAAATCCATGCGATTTCTTTTTGTGGGGTCACATGAAACAACTGGTTTATAATGAACCTATTAATAGTGTTGAACAATTAACCAATAAAGTTAATGCGGTAGCCGAGGAACTACGACAAAATCCAAGACTAATTTCTAATGTTCAAAGTTCTTTGGAAAGACGATTGCAAGTGTGTGTAAATAATAATGGACGGCATTTTGAACAATTACTGTAATAAACTTTATTTTGAATTAATTGGTTTTGCTACGGCAACAGTGCAATTTCTATGGGTAAGTTCAATTTCGATTTATTTTACTTCTTTAAATATGGAAACTAGTAGGTCGGAAAAGGGGACTCTTCCCCAATATTTAAATTTTAGAATTTGAATTTAAAATTGGTGCCAATCGTTTTTGGTCATTACATACTATTCCCCATTTTAATATGTACGTGTATTTCAATAACACCCTGTATAAGAACAGCTGATATAGTTGCCATATTCGATAAACAAGAAATAATTACATTATACAAACTATGTCAATAAAATATTTAAAAATACATAATTATTAGCTCAATGATAAATGACGCATTTTTCACTCCTTTCATTATTGTCTATTAGATTTCTTGAATCATACTGAAATAAATTATCCTTTTTAGATCTAACTTTAGTGGAGTGTCCAAGAAGCCCTGAAAATGAATTAGACGAAATAGATTTTAACAAATTGATGAACAAAGATACGCTGCAACTACAACATTCTAAAGAAATAGACCAAACGCCAGTGTTTGCAGCAAACTCAATCGACAGCGATAGCGATCTACCTTTTTACGATACAGAAGATCAACGATTAGCGCATCAAAATCACACCACAGTGAACGGCGTTGATATTAATAGTACGGAAGATGATGACGATGACAGTGATACGTACCAGAATTTAGTTGATTGTTCTTCCACATCGGACTGCACGTCTCAGCAAGCAGCTTCACTGAGCGAAGATGCTTCGATGTTTAGCTTACAAGACTTAGATGACTCCTTAACAGATCTATCGGGCTGTAATGGCGATATTAACCAGAAAAGTAATAGTACCGATGTGCGAAAATTATTTAGTGAAGAAAAGAACGTAGACTGCGTTAAATCTTATGAAAAAGGTAATATATTTAAACTCCTAAGTGGAGAATCAGCTGCTTATATCGTGAGCTTTCCAATCCTTTTTACGCGGTAGATCATCCTTTCGCCAAAGATTATTGTCTTACGGTCCTGTTTGATGATTTCAATTTTTCTTCGTCTTGGTCGTTTTTTGATTGCTCTCAAAGTGGTAATTTTTCTTATTAATTCGTCAGGATCTCTTCTTTTAAGAAATCCAAATCATCTCAGTCTTTGTGCTTTTCTATATTTAACAATGTCTTCTTATCTACCAAGTTTTTTATCTCTTGGTTCATAAGTAATCTAAATTCGTCAGGATATACAACTTTCCGCCTTATTCGATCCACATAACGTCCGGATATTCTTCTAATCGAAATTGCACACCCGACTAGAACTTTATCAACGAATTTCTTTATATTCTACATAGTTTTTCGCGTATAAAAATCATCTTTTTCTTTGTTTACAGAGTTGGTAAATTATATCTAAATAACATTATATTGAATGCCGTTTGTCCAGTTCAAATTGAGCTAATAATAACGGAGAAACAAGCAGTACTACTGCTCATGTTTTTTTTTTATTGTAACTCTATCTGAACGTTCTTTTTCAGCCGTGCTCCCAAGTTCCCTCTTCTCCCCTCAAGCACTTGCTCGATAACAGGTGTATGAAGCTCTTGTTAGTTGTTTTTTTTTCCATGGGCTCGTCTGACTATGTGTCTCCGAATAACACTGAAGCCTATTGGCTTATTGTGTTTTACCCCATGTTAGCTCATAGCACCCACTCTATCACCTTTGTACCTTGTACAAGTTTGTACAGATCCTTGGGTGAGTGGGTTCCATACGTTGTTGGATCAACCTGGGTTTTCCAAAAAGAGCCTGTCTTTTGCGATCTAGAGCTTCGCATTCGCACAGTATGTGTTTGGCCGTTTCTGGTTTCTTGTGACATAGTCGGCACATGAGTTCCCCATTGTACATGCCAATTTTGTTCAAGTGTCCCTTTACTGGGGCGTGCCCAGTCATGAACCCTGTTATCACTTTCAACTGGTTCCTATTCATTAAGAGTAGTTCTCCAGTTCTTTTGGGACATGGTCTGCCTATGAAGGCTTTTCCATGTGCCTGTTTTGGGGTGCTTCCCCAATAGTTGATATGTTGTTCCCGAATCCAGTCATTTATAAAACCCCGGACTGTACTTTTTGGTAATCCTGGGTTTGTGTCTGGTTCCGGTGTTTCTTCTGACCCTCTTTTTGCAAGTTCGTCAGCCTTTTCGTTGCCTTCGATCCCTTTGTGATCTGGCACCCAAAATAGTTTTACTCTATTTCGGTCTGCCAGTGTTCTTAGTTCTTCAATGCATTCCCATACCAGCCTCGACGTAACTTTCTGACTCGATATGGCCTTAAGTGCCGCTTGGCTGTCTGACATTATTTGAATATGCTAATTTTCGACAGCTCTTTCATTGTTCGGTTTTGCACATTGCAAAATTGCGTATACCTCGGCTTGAAATACCGAGGAATGTATTCCTATACCATAGCTATGGTTAGTATCAGGATTTTTGGAGAATACTCCTGTTCAGTGCCTTCCGCAGTCTTAGACCCGTCTGTATACCAGGTTTGTTCCTGGCATTGGGCTCCCTTATGGTGATCTCCGCTCTTTCCTGTATTAAAACCTCAAAGGGAGTATTAAATGAGTACCTCTTGGTTATGTGGTCTGATCTCATGTCTAGCACGTCTCCTGTCACTAACCTTGAGATACTTATGTGACCTGGCCTAATGTCAAGATTTCCCAGTGTATTCCCTAATCTGTAAGCACCTAATTTTGCCTCCCCTTGTATCACATAGTGAAGAGGTGGGAGTCCTATTAGTGCTTCCATTGCAACAGTGGGGGTTGTTTTCATTGCCCCCGTTCTTCCGAGGCAGGCAAGTCTTTGTACCTTGCTTAGCCTCGTTATTGGTTTCCTTTGCTGTGTCTTTGTCCACCACACCAAAGCTGCGTATGTTATTATCGGTCTCACCACCATGTTATAAAGCCAGTATACCATGCCTGGTTTTAACCCCCATTTTTTTCCAAAGGATCGCCTTGCTATCATTAATGAGGTTTCCGCTCTCCTTGTGGTTCTTTCTAGATGCTGGTTCCAGGTAAGTCTCGAGTCAATCATAACCCCGAGATATTTTACCTCCCCCTTAAGCTGGATGCTTGCACCTCTTAGATTTAGAGGCCCTAGTCCCTCCAATTTCCTCCTGCGGGTGAATGCAATTATGTCAGATTTGTTTGGGCTAATGTTTAGTCCTTCCGCCTCTGTCCATTTTGTTACTATATTTAGAGCCTCTTGCATTCGATATCTTACTATAGTGTTATATTTTCCCTGTGCCATGATCACTAGATCATCGGCATATCCCAGGGTTCTATGTCCCTTATCTTTGAGAGCCCTAAACAAGGTTCCACAGGAGTGCAGACAGCACTCCACGCATGTGTCCTCGATTCCTCTGTGTTTGAGAGATCTAATGATCGATTCAACGGAGGTATTGTCAAATGCACCCTCGATATCCAAGAATGCTCCCAGCATTACCGCCTTGTTTTCCAGTGTGTTCTCCACCCTTTTTGTTAGTTGTACACAGTTATCAATCATCATAAGGGTTTCACATGCCAATAAAATTAAACGCTTAAAAATAAAACTCTAATTGTTTTAGGTAATATAGGTACAATAATAGAAGAGGACGAGGAAGATGATTCCGAAAACTTACCGAGAGTGAGAAGGAGTACGTCTTTGAAAACCGGGAAAACTCCCCCTGGAACACCGGGTCAAAAGAAGATAGTGCGATTCGCGGATGCTCTAGGTTTAGATTTGGCTGACGTACGAACTTTTTTGGACGACATTCCAAAAGTCCCTGTCTCAGCCTTTGATGATCTGATCAACGCGGATTTTAGTGACTCTTCCGAAAGCAATATAAGCAAAGTTCAATTAAAGACAACCAAATACCTCATGCCGCTTTTCCAACAACCAGGCGGAATGCCGAACTTCCTCGACTTCGTCCGAGAGTACAACGTGTGCTTAGAAAACGTCTTTGTGGACGATCCTTTTTTGCTGTCACTAAAAGGCAGTGTACGGGTGCGGAATTTAGACTTTAACAAATCGGTTCATATCAGATATTCCTTAGATGGCTGGAAGACTTTTGCGGATGTTCAAGCCACGTACGCGGAGAATTCTTGTGATGGTTTTTCAGACAGGTTTACGTTTCTGTTGTACGCACATACTTTATCAATAGGGCAAAAGCTGGAATTAGCTTGTCGGTTTCAGTGCAAAGGGTGTCAGTATTGGGACAATAATAGAGGAGCGAATTATTGTTTCCAATGCCTACCATCAACGAATAATAATAATAGTACGCATGCGCAATCGATTGTGGACCGGCATCACGATGATTGGGGAGGAGCTAGTTTTTATTAGTAAGTATAGTGTTTAAACTTTTTGAAGGTAACATTGATGTCTATTCCTTGCTGATAAGTACTAATAAGAACAAAATAGTCCAATAATAATGACTTTCGATCTCCTTAGGAAGAAAAATAAAACTTAACGAGTGTTGAAAATTATTTTCCTTTTGATATAATTCAATGCACTCTCTACAGTATTAATCAAAGGAGTACTTGTTTTCAGGAGCTAAATGGTAACTCGATATTTTTGTGATCTTTTCTCTTTCTCCTTTTTTATTATTTTTTAATAATAGTTTTTTTTTTCAGAATAATTGGAAGCGCCAAAATCGGCAATGAGAAAAATCAATTGTGTGGTTTCGGTGTGGCCTACAAAACACCAAACGAGAGCAACAATAAACGACATGCACATTTTCTTTGAACAAATACCCCGAAAACAAATCAAAAAAAGAAGAAAACTAATGATACTATTTTTTTAATGTAGACAGGAGGGTACTGGAGCTTGTTTAGCATCCTAAACTAAGTGCCACATAGGTATATTATAAAATTTGTTTGAACGTTGGGTGTTACTTTTTGATAATGCCTACTCTAATCGTTATTTTACAGGAACGGTGTCAGGCAAATGTTAGTTCATTGTGCTATATTGCTGAATTATTTGGAGAATTATGTCCAATTGAATCTCATAGTTACATACATGTAAATATAAAATTAACGAATACTAGCCATATATTTTTCACATTTATAACAATGTCATGTTTGTATGGACCTCTTAACGCTTATTCACTTATTATTTTTTGATAGGTAAGTAAAAAAAATCAAAACGTATTTTTTTAAAATTAATTATAGGTAGAGAAAAGTGTGTTTTAGTTTTTACTGTACGAGATCCGACCGTTGGATTTCTGCACTCATCTGGTTTTTTAATAAGAATTATTTGTGATGTTATTCTCTACGATTTTGGTCATATACACGATTACTATCAAATGGACCGTACATAGTCAACCTCACTCCACAGTGTAGAAATAAAAATTATCTTTAACTTTATATAAAAATTCATTAAGACATTTAAATTGACCGAAATTAAAACTATTTGTACCTGTTTTTTTTTTAAGTTTCTTATATAATATAATAATAATAATAATAATAACGGGTCTTTATTTGCACAAAATAATAACATTTTTGTACAGTTAGCATGGGCGAGGTTTAGCCTATGGCTATTCTTACACCTAACCCTAACAAAACATATACATTTAAATAACTATAATATTAAAAGTTATCTATACAATTTGAAATTTGTAGTTCATTATATTTACCAGTTTACATTTGACTAATAAAGAGTTGCCTTTTTATTTTTTAATATCGGTGTGTAAAGTGTTATACAGAACAACGGCGTTATACGAAAAACTACGATTATAAATAGCATTGATAAATTAAAATGGTTTCTTATGTTTACATTGTGCGTAGACGATCTAAAAGTTAATTTGCTCATAAGATATAATGGTGACGCAGTAGAAAGGATTTTAAAAAGAAAAGAAAGGAACATAAATCTACATAAATTATTAACAGTTAGCCAGCCAGTTTGGGGGAAGGCTTAGGAAATATGATCGAATTTTCTAAGTCCTTTTGCGACATGCTTCTGCATAATTTGCAAACGGTTACGATCAGGAGCTGTTAAACAAGGATAATACACAACAATTCCATATAATATTTTTGAAATTACAAGGCTTGTGACAAAGTTTTAGTTTTATAGATTGGTTCTGTAGGGTGTGTTTATTAAAATAAAGCAAGCGAAGACCACCGTAACACATAGTTGACATGTTGACTAAACCTCATTTGATCGTCAAAGTATAACCCTAAATTTATAGACTCAGTTTCATGTGGAATAGATTCACCAGATATCATCAGAGTTGTATTGTTCTTTATATATTGTCTAATATTTTTACTACAGAATAATAATAGTTTGGATTTCCAAGCATTAATGTTGAAGGTTATGATCAGACGAATAGTTATCAATTTTTTTAAGATTTTGATTAATCTTATCAACTGCAGTTGCATTCGGCGAACAGTCGAGGAACAGCTGAGTGTAATCAGCAAAAAATTGGACTGCACAATTATTTACGTGTTTGTAGAAATCCGAAGTATAGAGTAAGAAAAGCAGGGGCCCTAGGACTGAACCTTGTGGTACACCAGATTTGATTTGAATGGATGTTGATTTCTGACCGTTTACTGTAACTAACTGTGATCGTTTACTTAAGTATGTTTTTATGAAACCTAATGAAATTTTATCATATCCATAATATTGACACTTGGATACAAGAAGACTATGATTAATGGTGTCGAACGCTTTGCTAAAATCTAGTAGAACTAGGACACCTGCTTTTTTCTTATCAATACTGTTGAAAATATTGTCACTTAAATGTGCCAAAGCTGTTGAAGTACTGAAACCCTTTTGAAAACCCGACTGATGCAAAGGGATTATATTTTTTTCACAAAGATATTCGTATATTTGCAAATAGGGTGCACGTTTAAGAATTTTTGAAATTAGAGGCAGTAGACTTATTGGACGCAGTTCATTGTATGAACTAGGATTGTGTTTTTTAGGTAAGGGTATTATCAAAGATTGTCTCCAACATTCCGGGAAATATCTTTGTTCTAAACATAAGTTTATAATATGTAGCAGATAAACATCAATAATATTTAGACACAATTTTAACATTGGCATGTTTATATTGTCATTACCACCAGCATTTGATTTTATATTCAAAATGACAGTGTAGAGTTGAGATAGTGTTATTGTTTTGAAGTGAAATTTAATATCTCTACTAAAGGAGTTACTTCTATAGAATAAAATTGAATCTAAGCATCTTTCATTACTGTCTTGGAACACAGAGGAAAAATATTTATTAATTTTAAAGGGATTGGAAAGCGAGGAAGATAAATCGATATTTTTTGTGGATTGAATTTTCATTGGTTTTAGCGCTTTGTAAAATTTAGAAGACGACTGGTTGTTTAAAAATTCTAGATACGCAGATTTTTCTCGTCTCAAGGATGCCAAATCAAAGTTGCGAAGTCTTTTATAATTGTTCCAGTTTTCAGTGGATTTATTTAATTTGACTTTTTTTAAGGCAGTATCTCGTTCTTTAAATATGAGTTAACCAAGGTGCTTTAGGTTTACTTATTCTAGCTGTTCGAAAAGGAGCGTGTTCATCGAAAATTGTAGATATTGCATCTGTTAAATAGCGTACCTTACTTTTAATATCATTAAGATACAAGATACAATGAATACTGCGTAGGCATTGCTCAAAAACTGAAGAATCAAAGTTCTGATAATATCTATAAGTTAAAAATCTTTGTTTCTGATAACTATAATTATAGTACCATGGCTTGTGCAATTATTGGAACAGTTTAAAAAAATTGGATCTATTAATGTAGAGGAGTGATTAGTAATGTATGTAGGCTCGTCTATGACTTGAGTGAGGCTATGGGCATTAAAACATGAAATTAATGAATTTGTACTGTTAAAAAGATCCACATTAACATCCCCAAGAATTAAAATTTTATCACAACTTTTAAGTATGATTGGTAAAACATCTAAACAATGTATAGCTTGATTAAAATTTTCCCGCGGTGGTCTGTACAACACTCCAACACAGAAAGTATCAATATTAATTTTAAAATTGATTTCTAAACAAGAATTAAAATAATTATTATGAAAATCTATGATTTTGAAACTCAAAGAAGACCTAATGTAGATGCCAACCCCTCCGCCATGGCGTGAACAAAATTGTTCGAAAAAAATTAATCAAGTAATTAAATTTTCATTGAAAGTACAATATTTCATAATTTCATTGCCGAACGAAAACAATGAAAGAAACTCATTTTTCTCCATTACAGTTTATTTTAGAGAAATAATGCACCTATATGACCAAAATTATAGAGAAAAACATCAAAAACAAAAACAAACTGATGAGTGCGGTCGGATCTTAGACTATAATAAAATGACAATTTTTAAAATAAACTTAATCTGTATATAAATACCATTCTTCCAGAGGCGTAGCGCGGGCTAAAGGGCGGAGAGGACAAAGCTTTTCTGGGGCGCCCAAGCCTCTGTGAGGCCGTCCCCCCTGGCTCCATATGCTACTGCATTCTTCTTGTTTGTAATAATTTTTAATGTTATATTTTGTTTCATAACATGGTATAAGTAAGTAATAGAAGTTACAAATTGTCCCACGGTACAACATATTGTTGAACCTTGAAATAATGTTAATTGTACCTTCGGACAATTTTGAGATGAAATTAAAAACAAATACCACATTTTTAAACAAAATTTTTACATGTTATAAGAAATAAAATCAACTAAAAAAGAAAATTGTTCCATTCAGAATGAATTGTGTACTTCTTACATACCTAATTTTGACAAATTTATCTCTATCCAATCTTCTTTAGATAGAAACTTTTGATAAACTTTTTCTCTAGCAATTTTTTTTTTTTTCATTTTTCATACACTTTTTTTCATGTTTTTTTCGCATGAAAAAAACAAAAAGTGAAGCGATGGGATTCACCAAACAACTATTGACGAACTGTGAGAATTTATGGGATACCCGTATCCCACGTGACTAAATTGATGTCATCAGTTAGCTATAAAAGTAGCATTAATAATTTTAGTAGTAACATTAAAACACTAACGTTAAAAAATTGTCATAAAAGTGCCTGGGATATGGGTATTATTAATAGTATGCATTAATTAATACACAAAATTAGCAATATAAAATTGATAATTTTTCAACATTGTGAGCAATTATATTTCCTATCCCTTACATCAATGTTATTTTAAAGTTATGTTGTTTGATTTTTGTATGCAGTGGTGTTTTCTGATTGCAGCCAAAAGAAAATATATTTTTTAAAACAAATATAATGCATATTTTGTTAACATATCAAGTAAAAAATTTAAATCTAATACCTTGTGCCATATTATCTTTGTTCAAAATAACTAAAAAAAAGCCCAATTTTAGTGCATTCGAATCGGGCGGCTCCAAGGAGCGGGGGTAGGGTTGCCACCTTCTGATTTCTCAAAACCAGGACCTTTGTGAAATTTCTAAAAAAAAAGAAATGGAAAAAAGGTCCTCTGTATTGTTAATATATCAAATCCTTCTGGAAAACAAGTCTTTTTTAAAGTTATCCAGACATTTTCATCATGCGACCGGCATGGAAGTCATGGCCCTCCCGCGATACTAAATTTTTTATAATCCATGGGGTTTTTATTAAAACAAATATGCTAAAAAGGTAAGTTTTATTGACGATTCCCCTCCTCCTCCCCCTTCCGAAAATTCGGCCAGGAGTCGCCCTCGATTCGAATTAAGAATACAATAATTTTTGATTCTTTGATATTAAAAATACCATTCTAAATTAATAAACATTTACATAATTAATTTGTACCTTACAAGACAAATGTTTAAAAAAATGTCCTAAATATTCCAAATGTAAAAAGGATGCAGACTGTCTCCCTCCTGTCTCCCGCCTGTTTCTGTCTCTTTTTACAAAAAGCAATACTTATATATTTTACGAATAGTATTTTTACAATGGTTATGACAGATTTATAGTTTTTTAGAAAGTGATATTTATGCCATGTTAATTGTTATAATAACAAAATTTTATCTATATTTTTATTTATTGTATTACTTTTCTTTATTTGAAAAACAAATATATATTTAATCTGTGTTGATATAAGGCTGTTTCCTTTACTTTTTTTTCAGGTGAATTTATTTTAAACTATCCTGTATTATCTGACTTCTAGGTATATAAATTAAAATATATTTGCCATGTAAAAGTATAGGAATGCGTTAGGTATCATGTTAAAAAAAATTAGATTATTTAATAAATTAAAAGTGCAAGATATATAAACTAATAGACGCGTACGATGTAATATTTTTATACCTCATAAGTGTTTTATTAATATATTGAATATTATTTTAAAATTCTACCTAGCAGCTTAATATTATAGTCTTGATACAATAAAATAAAAATTATAGTAGTTTTCCTATTTATAATTATAAGTAATTGTTTTAGTTTAATAGAAAAATACAGGTTTAATACTTGCATTTTAAAAAGGCCTAAAATCACAAGTTTAATCACATATCTAACTTTATATACTCGTATTTCCATGGCACATAGGCAATGGCGACCCGTTTGAAATGACAGACACTTGATGGGTTATAATATGGCAACACTGGTGGTTTGTTAGGGTCAATGATATAGACAGTTATATAGATTGATCATCCATGTTTTTAAAAATAAATATAAGCTTATGCCTTAAAGTAAAAACGAAGGCAATTATTTTTTTTAAATATTCAAAGGCTGGAAATTGGTTGTAAAACACATTTTGGCAATATGACTTCTCGCAACCGACAGCTTTGAACAATCTATATAACGATATATGCATCATATTGACCCTGTCAATGACAACTGGCCCACAGGATTAGGCATTCCAAACAAATGAATTGCTAGTGGGAAGGTTTGGTATATCTAAGGGTTGCGACATACGATGTGTTCTATCTACAATACGTAAAATCATGAAAAAGGATTACATTTAAATATTTTAGTTAAAATAAAAATATTATTTAAAAAAAAAACGCTTTTACATTTTTTCATAAATTGACAGGCTTGGCGACTACTATTTCGACTAAAAATAACGTTCAAGATGCAGGACTATGTCGCTACCCCCCCTTAGATATACGACACCTTCCCACTGGTAGCTATTGTTTGACAGATCGTTGGAATGCCTAATTAGGCATTCCAAACAAATGAATTACCAGTGGGCAGGTTTGGTATATCTAAGGGTGGCGACATATGGTGTATTCTATCTACTTTACGTAAAATCATGAATAATGGATTACATTTAAATATTTTATGTCAAACACAATAAATGTAATATTTAAAAAACCCACCTATACATTTCTTCATAAATTGGCAGGCTTGGCGAGTACTACTTCGAATAAAAATAGCGTCCAAGTTGCAAGACTATGTCGCTACCCCCTTAAATATACAAGAATTTCCCACTGCACCTATTGTTTGACAGGTCGTTGGAATGCCTAATTGCTATATCTAAACTGTCAGTAACTGTTAAACAGTTAAACTGTCAGTGGTGTAGCTCAGTGCTACACTTTCGATGCAAAGGAAAATACCTATAGATAAATAGATTGAGCATCTATGTTTTTCAAAATAAACATTAGCTTATATACTTGTTATGTTTGGCATGTATGAACGCAATTATTTTTTACTAAATTCAATAGCTAAAAATTGGTTCTGAAACACATTTTTGTTAACCAGATTTTGAGTAATGGCCGCTCGCAAGACGATCCGCTTTGAGCAATCTTTATGATAATATATCATTGCCAGTGTAAAGAAAACAGGCCCACAGTGTTGCCATATTATAATCCACGGGCCACGGACATTTTGACAGGATATTGGAATGCCTAATAAATATTTCAAATTCAATTGATGATTATCTACTCTTCTAGTTAATTATTATCTTTTAATTAACTATTTTATAGTGAATACATATCAGTTTTTATCTAACATTGCGAAATTTTAATTTCTTTAACATCTACCAATAACAATGATAAACGTTAGATACTTTTTAAATTCTTTTAGAACCGATTCCACCGTTGTGTTAAACGTAGTTTAAAATGACATTTTTACATTAACAATGTCATTTTAATCTCCGTTTAACACAACGGTGGAATCGACCCTTAAATACTCTTACTCTTCAGTCTTCATAAGAACAGTATTTCGGAAATAACTTTTACCAACAAAATAAAACGCCCATGTTTTATAAAGTCAAAATGAAACAAAGCTACAACAAAACATAATCATTGTTTTATGCAACCAGATATACATATTGGTGGTTATTGTATTGCCTAATATATATACTAATTTTTTAAAAGTATAATCAAATCACAGTTCTTAAAATCCTTGAATACAATTTTTATCGACATAATAATCGTAACCAAAAATTAATAAATAAAAGGTAAAAATAGCTCCCAGGATTCCTATTCACTTACTTGTGCACATCTGCATTCTGCAGGGCCTTATTCAGGGGCAATGCCTTACCTTAAAATACCAATTTCTTACCTAAAAAAAACCAGACGGTATTGCACACGTCCTAAAGTCATCAAACTTTACAATAAAATACTATTTTAGTTCTATATGGACATTTTATTGTTATTTGATTATTGGTCTAACTTGTTCCCTAAGAATATATCTACATAAAGCAAAATAGTCTGTAAGTCGTCTTTTGCTTCTATTTAAAAGATGACCTCATTGGTTTAACCCCAGTATATAGGTATCAATATCTTTTGTATACAAAATAAAACACAATGTAATAGAAAAATGTTTATTGAATCACAGTCAAAATTATACAAATAAAGAAACTACAACAAAACCTGTTGATTTCTCGAATTGTTTCTAAAAAAAAAAAATGGCTAAATATTTTTGTATTTAAGGTATCCTCTTAATATAGTTTAAATAAATTACAAATAGAGACTACAATAATAACATAACTAATAAAAATTCTACAAGAACACGTTACCAAAAGGCTTCATTCATATTCATGAGATACGTCATCAGTTTTAATCGCTGCTTTATTTTTTTAAAAATGAATCAATAATATGTACCTTTCTAGTTTGAGATTTTACCTTCATTTGGATAAAAACAGAAATAGAAATATTAAACATTATTTCAATATGTACACAGTCCAACTCTGCCCCAAATTGCTAGGTAATTAACTAAGCTTTAACTATACGTCTATGTAATCAGTTCGGGTAATTTTAAGGCTAAATACTGTTTATGTAATCTTTGTTTGCAAAATTCGTAAAACTCGATTTCTTTCGTAAAGTTTTTTCGAACAATATTTTTTACTTCTTCGCTTACAGTTGGTTTGAAATTGTTTTTGTTTATTGGATAATATCTGCTTATTTCGTCTGAAAAAAGAAAAATATATATTTAACTAGATGGCCCTAAGCTTACAATTTTTAAATCGTTTCTCCACATATACAGGGTCGTTCTTTATGTCGGTTATTTTTGAAAAGACGGAGAAAATGTCGGTTTACAGAGGAGTATGTTATAAAAATATTCTCAAATATACAGAATACTCCAAAAAAAAAATATTTCTTCAAATTTCATTTTTGAATTCTACCATAAAATCTAAGAATAATTTTTGTCTTAAACCCCATATATCTAAATGCATTTGGTTTCAAGCTTTTGACATTCGAAAATTTACTCTTTCACATTTTGAAAAGCTGTAACACCCAAATAGTTATAAATCAAATTCTACGTCTTAAAAATTGTAAGCACAGCCGTCTAGCTTTCAAACTGGGCTACTTTGTACTGAGGTATGTTTACGTAAATCGACATGTGTGGTATGTTTTTATAAAGTTCTTGTATATTAAGTCAGGAAAAATAAGAAAAAATTAGAATGAGAAATCATTTGTTACCTAACTTACCCCAATAAATCTTTGAAGCTCCCTTAAAAAACCTGGGCACATAATTTTCCAAAACCGTCAGCGTAGTGTTTAGTTCTTCCAACACCCCTACAACAGCGTAATTTCGTTCCACAGCCCTTTTAGCTCTTTCCAGTGCACCTTCTGTATTGAAAGGTAAACATTCTGGATGATGGCCGCAAAAAAACATAGACTGTCTTCTGTGGTCACCGATTCCTTCTCTGATTTCTCCTTTTAGATATCGACACTCTCTGTCTTCAGACAAAACACAGTCTTCAAAATCCTAGAGTAGAAATAAATACAGACAGAACGTTTTCAATTTGCAATGAATATACCTAATGAAGACATTAGTGAATGATAGTTTGAGAGTAAGAATGCTTTTATTGAAGAAATTAACATTTTGAATTTTCCACTTCCCGCACCGTCTCGTAATTACAACATTTGTGTGCTAAAGCTAAGCAAATATTAGGTAAATTGGATAAATAACCGGAATTTATTGGAAAAACTGCTTTTTTAACTAGTCTACATACTAACTAAAATATCTTTCAAGTTCGAAAAGACCAAGGCCATAAAAAGAACTGAGCCCACCTATGGAAAAAACGGCTGGGAGATTTTATTTACGATATGTCCTTTAGAAAAACGATTTATATGAAAAGGAAAGAACAAAAAAGGAATAAAATATTCTTTTTGTATTAAATTAATGACAAATTAAGTATGAACAAAAACCAAACATATATTTCAATTTTTTCTTGACAGTTGTTAAATAAATATTTTTTTATTGAATTATTTACTTTTTTGAGCCATTTAGGATCTGGTAACGGAATATCCGGAAATGCAATTTTTCTTTCTACATAATACCAAGGAGCTCGAACGTAGTAATACCAAGATATGACTCGTTCCACCGGATCTCTAACGAGGTTAATATAAATAGGCTCTGGTAGACCAAAACTGTAACACAAAATAAAATTAAAAATATAATATGACTTTCCTATAAAGTATGAGTATGATCAAATTAATCAAAAAGTTCCTAAAATATAAAATACATTTTATTAAAAAAAAAAAAATGTTCATATTTTCATTACCGACGATAATTTGAAAAAAATATATATTTTGCACTTTTCCTTAAATTTTATCCATTGCGGTACGTTTTAGAGAAATCATGTATAACTCTTTTTCAAAGATTTTCTTCTTTAATCATCAATAAAGTACCCCCATATGCCCAAAATTTAATTCTGTTTTTTTTCTTTACTGCAATAAGATTGAGAAAAGCAGCTTTTCTTTAAATATTCTTTGAAAACCCAATGTATTTAAATCTTATTTGAACTGGTATGTGACTGGATCGATATTTCATCTTTCTTATTCCAGAATCTGTAGTGTTTATCTTTGTTTACAGGTTTGTAAATTAACAAATCAAGAATTTACCTGGAAACGTTCGTAAAGCAAACGTGTTTTATATAAACTCCGGGTGGATCATAACTTGAAACCAGCGCAGCTAAAATAGCTTGATCCTCTGGTGATAACCTGATAGTTTCTACTCTTTGAACTCGGTCTTGATGGAATCCAAAATTATTTCGCATGCTTAGTCTTCTCATGAGCTCCATTAATGTTTGCGATCCAACTTTTGGGACTCGATTGAAGAATATCAAATTAATTTTAGCTTTTTTTGTGTTATTTAGAAGCGACGGTTCTAATGTAGACATCTGAAAAAATAATCTAAAATTGGAAAATATGTGGGTATGATTTTTAAAACTAACCTGTCCTGTACTTTCTAATAATTTCATTGTTGCTTTAACACCTGTATAGGCTGGAGGGCCACTATCGCCTAAAACAAAATAAAAAATTGTTTAACATTTTTTTCAGTTTGAAATCGAAATTACTAACGCCGCTCCTGGCGATACTAAACCGATATAGCAGTTACAAAACCAGGCAACCAGAAATACATATTTATGGCTATTGTGTTGCCTAATATATTTACTAACGTTCACAAAAATATTCACAAAATACTTGAATATAATTGTTATTGACACAATGATCAAAATTAAACAAAATTAAAGGCAAATAAAAGATTTAAAAAGCTGCTCCCAGGTAAAATAAATGGATAGTTTTTACTCTACATGCCGTGCTTCTGCGTTGGTCTATATACAGAAATACATTCCGAGATATGCATGGGATGTAACAGATTGTTGTTAAATTAATGCAAACGCAAAACGATTACAAATACACCCGTTCAGTCTTGCCACACCAATTAATTTTTTCGTAATAGAATTTTGAACCAAAAGGTAATAAAATAGTAATAGAATAATATTTTGAAGTAACATAAATGTACCAGAACTAATAATAAATAAATTTAACAATAAAACTGTGTATTAGGTTTGTTCTGGTTCTCAAAATGAAAACTGTTTTGAAACTGCGCCGGACCGTATGCGTAAAGGCAAAAAATCCCCGACTGTTTGAAATTCTTGGAAAACCAGAACACGTCATAAAGGTGTTTTGTTTATTGTTTATTATAATAATGAAGTTCCTTTTGAAAGCTCAGCTTCAAATAATATTTGCATGTATATGTTTATCATTATCATCACATTTCAATGGAATAAATAAAAACAGAATATTAAAGAATTAATAATTCTAAAATTGCTTTAATTTACAAATAAAACAAGAACAAGAGACATTCGTCCACATATAAATAAACAATTTGGGATTGTATACGTTTCGTATGGTCTAAAAAGCCAATACAATATTCATAACACTTCAAAAACGCATGCGCGGTCAAAACAGTCCGAGTCGATCCACACTCCCAAGCATGAACACTTTTTGACTGTTTACAACAATCACGGATTATTTCGGATACGAAACCAGAACACTGGACTGAGAGATCCGAAGTAGTCCCAGAAAAACCAGAACACTTTTTATCTACTGCGCATGAGCCCGACAGTTGTGGATCGTTATTTCTCAAAACCAGAACAGACCTATTATCAAATATATCGGTTTGGTTAATAGAAATAATAAGTTTCGAAAAGTATAATGAAGAAAAACCATGATTGTAAAAATAAACATTTATTTCAAACAAAAATAAGAAAGAAAGTATAATGTAAACACATATGTAAATAAATGTTTAAAATGTCAAATCTTCTGCACATTGTAAATTATCATTATCATTTTTATTTACATTATAATTTAACAAAGCATCATTCAGCTCAAAATTACAACAGTTATTTTCATTCAATAACTGCTTAGTTAAAATTAATGAATTGCATCTTTCCACATTTAGACGATTTCTTAATTTGGTTTTAATATTATTTATTTATTAAATGAGAAGATATTACGTGTATAAATAGCTATAGTCGTACTTTAAATATAAAATGAGGGCTTCTACGTTATTAAATACAAGATATAAATTATGCTGAAATGCTGGAGGCCGAGTCAACAAAAAAATAATATATAAGGTTCTTTCGTTCGCTATTGGTGCAGTGTCCACCAGTATAAATTACACCAGTTACACCACCTTATTTTCCTTAATTTACTTCCTCCTTATTCCTTATACACATATCGAGTGTAAATCACTCCTGCTAAATAGCTGGTGGAGAAAATTCCCACCAGTGTACACCACATCGCCGACAGGAAGGTATAGTGAGTTTTACACCGGGCCAAACGAAAGGTTTAGTGTACGTTGGTGTAGTTCATTCCTACACCAGTTGGACGAACGGAAGAACCTATAATTTCCGCGTTTAAAAATCCACATCGGATGCATTTTTTACATCTCGAGCGTTTTTTTATCCACATAGGACACATCTGTCCCATTACATTTGCCGCGTTTGAGAATCCACATCGGATGCATCTGAGATGTAGTAAATCTTTGATCACGTGATTCAGTATACGTAAATGTAATGGGACAGATGTGTCCGATGTGGATAAAAAAACGCTCGAGATGTAAAAAATGCATCCGATGTGGATTCTCAAACGCAGCAATTTACGTATACGGAATCACGTGATCAAAGATTTTTTACATCTCAGATGCATCCGATGTGGATTCTCAAACGCGGCAAATAAAGGATGCTTATTTTGGATTTGTTAAAACAAGAAAACAGACATAACAAATGTATAGATTTCTAAATTTTTTTAAATATGGCCTCTGAAGCTTAAGGCATTTCTTTATAAGCTTACTACAACATACTTGGTTACAGTATTGTGGTTACTGTGGTGACATTACGCATACCATGGTTTCCCTATTAGGCATTCCAACGACCTGTCCAAATGGCTACCAGTGGGTACTGACAGTTTAGATATGGCAACCCTGTTTTCATGTTGTCATTAACAGGGTCAATGATAACATGTATGTTATATACATTGCTCAAAGCTGGTCGTTTGCGAGCAGCCATATTGCCTGGCAAATATTTATTAATTTGAATCAGTTTAGCAAAAATGTGTTTTAAAACCAATTTTCAGACTTTAGATATTTAAAAAATAATAATTGTTTATATTTTTACTTCAAGGCATAAGCTTATGTTTATTTTAAAAAATAGGGATGATCAATCTATGTAACTATCTATTTCACTCACCTTGTCAAATCACCAGGCCAACAGAGTTGCCATAACTTTGCCTCATCATAACCTGTCAAAACCCACTGGTAGTCATTCAGTTTGGAATGCCTAATTATTGAATGTCATATGTCAAATTTAATTTAAGTTTGGGGATTTCTAAACGGAATTTGAATTTTAGAAATTATAGGATGTTTTGACTTTGTTATTTTTTATTATAGTATGTTTTAGTAAGCTTATAAATAAATGCCTCGTTAGATATAGCCACATATGCTTTGGTAACATGTAACCAAAGCAGAGTAACCAAACGTTATAAAGAAATGCTCTGGTTACAGAAGTATGTTCTGGTAAGCTTATAAAGAAATGCCTTTAGAAGGAGCCACTCATAAAATTGTGATATTTTAAAAAGTAATAGATTTTTTGTTTTTTTCTTAAAAGTCGTAATAACGTACTAATATACTTTTTTAGTAATAGATTTGTTACAATTGTAATAGCAACGGCAACACTGCACCCGTTCCCATATTTTGAATATGATCAGGGTTGCCAACAATTGACTATTGAAAGTTTCAACTGTGCAAGTTAAAAATCACTAGAAATTACCAGATAGGAATTTTTCGTACCTCTATTAAAATATAGCATAAAAAATAGAAATGCAACTTGGTCTTGAAGAAATATACTACGTATATTTATATATATTGTTACCTTCGAACATGCTCGAAGAGGTAATATTCTATCTGCTAATTTCTGGGGATTTTTAACTTGTAAAGTTGAATTGAAACTTCCAATGGTCAATTGTTGGCAACCCTGATCATTGGTTCGCAAATATTCGAAATATAAAAACTGGCGTCTTTTTTAAGAAGTATTTTTTTGTAATTTTGCTATAGTTAAAAATCGTTTTACGAGTGCGTTAATTAAACAACATTCCTGTGTTATCGATTAAAAAAAGTGTTGTGTACTATACTGTATTGTTCTTAATTTAGAGGCATTTAAACAATATTGTGATAGTGTGTTCCATCTCATATCCCCATATCAAATGGAATATAACAGAAAGCTCCACATTCCAAGTCAGATTCTACCCTATCAAAGATTATTTCAACGTTATGTAAGTGTAATTAAATTAATTATTTGAGAATTTGAAGGGGTAGGTCAATGCAAGAAGTGGACGTCCATTTTTTTTAGAATAGGTAAAATACGTTCTTATACTTTGTGTTCAATCAACTTTGAACTTTATTCATTTATATCTTATAAACTATATGTATGTATTAATAATAATGTCCACTTTATACAGAATTTTGTTAATATTTTTCAGCTGTCCTGAAATAACACTCTGTATTATTTGACAATAAATAAAATCTAAGGATCAAATTAAACTAATACGAACAATGAAATAATTTACTACAAATTGTACACGTACAATTCATTTAACAATTTTGTTTGAAAACAGTTTAAACTTGAACAAGAAAACGTTTTATATAAATCAATTAAAATCAACCTAAATCATCTGTCGGAACGAAACACGAGTATCTCGAATAGCTCCGATTCGATGCTACTAAACACAAGAGCGATCGAATGGCGCGAACATTCGAAAAAGCACAGAGCCGTCTTAGGTAATTTGAAACCGAATAATAGTTTTTTTTCTATATTTTACTACTGTATCTAACTAGTAGAGATAGAAAAATTTGGTTTTTTGATAGGATGTTGAAAAATATATGAGAGAACATGTTTATATGAAAAATTACTGTTGGTAAAAGTAAGGATATGTCCACATCTTGCACTGAACTCTTCGATTGACATCAAATTCAAACAAAAAATGCTTCTAAAGTAAGTCATGACCGACAGAGAAATGAGTTTTATCCGTGATAACTATGCTCGGTTCTGAATTAAATCCAAACTGACAAATAAAAAGAAGAATCCTTCGCTCGACATACGTAAATTTTTACAAGGCTTTTTAGAATTTGTTTTTGTGGATTAGTGGTCGGAAGTTTTCCATTTTATATTTATCAATATTTTTATAAATGTATAAATAACTTTACCGGACTCTAAAACTAATTTTCTCAGTTTTACATGTTCTGTTCTAGCCACACTCTCTCTAGTCATCTCTCGGAAAAGTAAACATTTTCCACCTCTGTAAATATATCTACCAATTACTAATTTGTAAATTATATTTCCTTCTAAATACTCACTTAAAACTAATTGATTTGATGATATCATGCTGACAGGTTGAATTCTGATTTCCATCTCCTTAAGTTTTGTATTCAAATCTCTGGTATGAATGTAGAGGAACAGTGTTGTAGAAAGAGCCAGTAGTGCTATCAGCTCACTGGTTCTGAAAACAAACAAAAATAAAATAACAGAAGTTCAAAAAAGAAGTTCGTATATCAAACGGTGCAAGGCACATACTTTGATTTTCTTTTACTATACGGAGAATGGTCGCACTGCGCAGCTTTCTGAGTGCCTTTTAAAAGGAGATAGAAAACTCCGCCATTTTGAACCCTTATTACGTGTTGCCTACATCTTGGCGCAATATTTTTAATAGATACGTTTTAATCATCCGCTTCTACTTCGGAATCTGACAGTGTCAGTGAATATTTTTTTTGAAGTCACAGTTTATTGCTTAAGAATCAGTTAGCTCACTCGGACCAGTTGAAAGTTCCAAAATAACATCCACTCCAGGGATACAAATTCAGGATACGCAGAAGACTGCTGTTTGAATATAGGCGGTTGTTATAATTGTATTATTCGAGTGGCGCAGTGTATAAACTGGAACATTGAGATCAAAAGTGCCGACGCAGAGTGAGCGATCTGATTCTTTATCTATAAACTGTTGCATAGGGTTCAAAATGGCCGCGCTCTATGTTGGGCGTGTCGGACCTCTCTCTTGCGCCGTATAGTAAAGAAAATCAAAGTATGTGGTGTATGTGGTGCAAGGGAACATGATAACGATTTGAACCTCAAATTTGGTGTATAACTATTTTGTTTACCTGTAGTCTTATCAACCAGAAATCTACCAAGATCGCCGCGGAAACAAAAAAAAAAAAGATTAATAGCTATTTGTGCAACTACAGCAACGACAGTAGATTGGATTTTTGTTAAATATTGCGAATCTGACAAAAGTATGGATCTCTTGTTTTATAGCTGAATGATACTTCTTTTTGATTATTACCTAGGACAAAACAGCAAAATATTTTGATATCTATTTCCTATTCTCTGAATAGTAGATAAGTATCATTTCTTCTTTATATTTCTTGACTTATTTAAATATATGACATTTTCAAACCACACACACTCTATATACAAACGGTTTGGGAAATAGTTGAACAAATAGAACAGTATGATATAGATACTATTTTTCGTTCGAAGCTAGTAACGCATCGTGTATTTTTTTAAAAATACCAATTTTTTTTTTAAACTTATATTTCAAAAACTATGTGTTGTTTTTAGAAAAAAAAAACTGTTGTTGGCTTCGTTCGAAGCTAGCAGAGCACCTTGATTTCTGCAAAAAAACGAGGAGCATAACATTTTTAAATAGGGTATAAAAATAGTCTTAAAATAGCCTAAAAATATAGTATAGGTTTCAGATCAAAATTCCTTAGGTACTCTGCTGCCTTCTTTGGCAAAAATATTTTATAATGTTACTGAAAGAATATTGTAAAAACTAATGTACATAACAACCTAATTTCAAAAAACAAAATAGAGTGGTTTCTGCAATTAAATAAGCATTCCAGAAACATCAATAAAATATAATAGTCTTTTAAATTAAAAAATATGAAGCTACTTTGCTAGTTGGAATGGTCAAACTCGTGCTCCCAAAATTTAAGAATTTCGGGGGTCCATCGTAATGATAAATGCATAAAAGAGCAGGTAATAATAGATGTGTGATAAGTGTTGTGTTTAATTATTCTTCTTAAACCTACAACGTATTGCGAATCATGTGAAATCTGAATTAATCCATCTCAAAATACATTTCATACTTTCCTAATTTAAAAATTTGGATAAACAATACGATATCAAGTGTATTTTCAATTAGCTTTCTATCCGGACATCACTTTTCTTTTTACAATTGTTATACAAAACCGAAACAGCGTCATGAATTGGCTTGTTTCATTTTTAATGGCCTAACAACAATGGACATTTTCCTCCAGATAATTTCATCAATTTAATTGAAAAAATATGCTAAATAGTACATTTAGGAATTCAGTAAAAACATCAAGTTTAAAATTGCCATTCCCAGTATAACATCTAATAATAATAATAATAATTTACATTATTATTAGATTTCGGTATCCATTTTCATTGTGTACATTAAGGTTATAGTTGTGAAAGTACAGTATTTTTATGATAGATACCGTAACAGAATTTTAAAACCCTATTTCAGAGACATTAAAAAATTGACCGCATACTATACTGTGCTATACAGGGTGGTCCGATAATAATGGGACACAGCAACTATGAATTCCTTGCATAAAAATATTGCGATATAAAACAACTTACCTTAGTTTGTTTCTTGATATTAAAGAAAAAAGAAACAGGATGCTAAAGTAGTTTTTTTTGAGTACCACTTAAATTTAACGAAAAATATTGTTTATCGAATGATTTTCTAATATTAAAAAGTATGTCTACGTAAGTTTTATTGTTAATATTAGAAAAAAAGTTATTGTTAATAAAAGTTGAGCATGGTCTAATACCTAAAATGTGAGACATATTGTATATAGATTTCAATAAAAAAAATTACTTTAGTACTATGGTAAATTGTGTTATATCCAAGATTATATCGCAATATTTTTATACAAAGAATTCATAGTTGCTCTGTGTCCCATTTTTAACGGACCTCCCTGTATAACTGGATACTATCTTATAATGTAATCAAGTAGGTTAAAAAAGGAAATTGTAGATGCCTATGTAAGTAAATAATGAAATGTTTCTTTCTGATTAGATTTATGAACACTAGATGCATGTTGATGACTTTGTAAAGCCTAATTTTTAAATAAAAATTTTAATTTTTTACACAGTACCAAATAAAAAAGTGTTTATTTAGAATTTGAATTAAAGATGACATATTTCGTCCAGCTTTTGCAACTAAAATGTCAATTTTAATGAGTGAAAGAGTGAAATTGGCAAAACTGAGTAACGGTAAAATTAAAACTGCAGATGTTCAAAGATCACTTTTGTTAAAAAAAAATCATTTTAATTTAAACATATTTTAATAAACATGAATTCTTAATGTCATTATCTTGTTCATTTTATCAAACAGTTAACTATTTAACAGTTTTATATATTTTATAGTTATTCAAATAATCCTATATAATAGATGCACTATGGCTGTCCACCAGATAGGTATCCGCAATTTTAATAAAACATTGATTATCTAAAAAATGCAGATTTGAAAAGTAGGACAAATTTAGACAAAGTAACGGTAGGTCAAAGAACGAATAATAAATAATATTAGCAATACCTATTTAAATTATTCAAAGTTTCTGTTAAAAAGTGAATGGTCCTATTTCTGTAAACTATTGTTTTAATTGCCTCCGATTTCAAAGGGGTTTAGGTGGGGAGGTTGCTGTCGCTTCAAGATGCTGCATTTTATCCTTCTAAATTTTATTAGACTGAATTGTCTGAATGATATTAACGTCAAATTATTTACAGTCTAAATATATGTCAAAATGTATTAGGCTAGTAAATTTTAATTAATATTTTGCGACTGATTGAAAGTCTGCAGAGGCATCCTAAATACTTTTATACTGGTCTTACTACTCTATTCATCATAATGTTAAGAATAGAATAATACTAACAAATCTTCACAGATCCGCGATTCTATCTTACCTTCATTTCTGAAAAAAAAAGTCAGTAGTCAGTAGTTAGAAACCAATTCTAGTATCATTCATATTACAATATATTAAACTTCATTGTATAACTGGTAGGTATACCTTCTCTCTTTGTTTCAAATAACTATAGAATTGCATCAAATTATACTCGCCATGATACTCATTTAAATAATTTCGAGTATTGTGAATCCATTATTAAGTTTCCGGTCCAGTGATCTTTTCACGGTGACGATGCATAAATAATGAATTCATGCATCGTTGATTTTTATGTTTACGTGAGTTCCTCTTCCATCTGACCACAGAGTCCATCTGGATTGCATTTCCGCTCAATTTATCTTTTTGTAAATAGACTGAACTGAATTTATTTGTAACGATGTAATCATTAACATCTACTTGGATAAAATTTTGTGAAAAGGGGTGTGATTGTCAATCAATTTAAAGCTTCATTAAAATCTCTTGGAGTAAAAAGAATCGTTAATATAAATCAAATATTGTTATGGTAGATAATGCAGTATCTGAACTATTAGGACTTATTAGTTTCATTGTGATCCTCTAGTTTCAAAGCTGAAAGAGCTCACTATACGCCCTTCTGATGGTTACACTTTGGTTGTAATTTTAGTTGGTCTTTGTTTTGCTGTGATATCTAATCATTAAAACCATGGTCCTAAATATTCGAGATAATGTATCTTTAAAGACTATAAAGATGTGGGAAATATGTATAATGAAACAAAATTTCTAATCCATTAAAAAAGTGGATCAATAAATCTGAAAAACATTATTCGAATTGGATTAATATGTATAACAATTTTTATGAGATACAAATGTGAAATCGACACTTATTTTATTATCTTCGTACTTACACGTACCTACACGGTAGTGAACTTTAAGATAATCTAAATTTCAACGTGAAATTAACTAAGAAACATCAACTAACGTTTTCCATTCACTTCCTGTAAATCAAACTCTAGATAAAGGTGTGACAAATTAAGTTTGTTGCCTAGTTTTCTGTTAGTAGGTAGACTAATTGCTTTCAGAGTGCAACCATCGCAAATTGGGAAGAACGCATTAAAATGTAGGTATACCGTTGTATCTCCAGTGGCGGCTTTTGGCAATGAAAGGGATCTAAATTAATAACATATGTCTTAAAGTATTTTATGAAATTAAAATGAGGCATTAATAACTATTATTCAATATAAATAAAAACTTTGTATCTAGAGTTATTATTAATAACAGTATGTATATACATTTTTAAATATTTATTAAGAATAATATAAATGTATATAGCAATTTTCAATGTTTGAAAAATGTAAATACCTATATACCCAGAGTATTGCATTAACGTACTCATGAGTACCTACTACACAACGAGTAGCTTCACAAAGTACTCATAGGTTTGTGAGAACTTATATGAATAATACTCAAAACAATTAAATACTGTAGCAAGGTAGAATGCGTGTCAATAGACTTGAGATGCGACTCTATAGACGCAGCCATATTATTTATC